TTTACAAGAATGTTAGTTGCCAGGGCTGAGCATTGTGTCAATCCATTTTTGTACATGAAGTGAATACATGAAAGAGATCGCAGTGATTTTACTGAATATGGGTAGTGAAATGTTTAACATTATTATGGATTACTGCTACTGTGATATTTAGGTTTATATTGCAGTTGACTCTGGATTCAGAAAAAAACTCTTCACAGTGAGGTAGTGACCAAAACTGAGGCATTAGGAAACAATAAAAATGCTGGAATAGCTGACCAACACAGGCTATTTTGTTCCCTGAGGCTTAAAATCAGTTTTTAATATGATGAAAAGGCAGCTATTATGTGACGTAGCTAGTAAGATGTTGGTATGTTAAGCATGAACATATATTTCCAGTTTTCTTTGAGCTGGTCATAAAATGACATTGGCTACTTTGTCATTTATTTTTATTTTTTAATTTAATTTAATTTTTTTTGAGACAGAGACTCGCTGTTTAGGCTGTAGTGCAGCAGCACAATCTTGGCTCACTGCAACCTCTGCCTCCCAGATTCAAGCGATTCTCCTGTCTCGGCCTCCCAAGTAGCTGGGATTACAGGCACCCACCACCACACCAGGCTAATCTTTGTATTTTTAGAGAGACGGGGTTTCACCATGTTAGCCAGGATGGTCTTGATTTCCTGACCTCGCGATCTGCCCGTCTTGGCCTCCCAAAGTGCTGGGATTACAGGCGTGAGCCACTGCGCCTGGCCTCGTCTTTTCTTTCTTTCTTTTTTTTTTTTTTTTATATATTCTTTGAGACAGTGTCTCACTCTGTTGCCAGGCTGGAGTGTAGTGGCATGATCTCGGCTCACTTCAACCTCCACCTCCCCTGTTCAAGTGATTTTCCTGCCTCAGCCTTACAAGTAGCTAGGATTACAGGCACCCACCACAACATCTGGCGAATTTTTGCATTTCTAGTAGAGACAGGGTTTCGCCATGTTGGCCAGGCTGGTCTCAAACTCCTGACCTCGTAATCCATCTGCCTTGGCCTCCCAAAGTGCTGGGATTTCAAGTGTGAGCTACTGATCCTGGCTTACTTCATCTTTTAATTGGGCCGATTATTGTAGCAAGCACTTTAGAGATCACAGAGATGAAAAAAGGGCTCATCCAAAGAAAGCTTAAAACCTAGTAGTGCTGGAATTCTTAATCAGCCACATATGGTGATCTTGAACCTCTTGAAATAGTATACATCCATTATAGGCGCATTTTTCTGAGGACAGCTTTCATCAAATTGTCCAGTGGTTCATAGACATAATTACATCCCTCTACTACATAATTTCTTAATCTTAATCTTAATCTTCCAAAAGATAATGAACTTCAGTAGCAGAGGGCTATAATTATTTAAAGAACTACACCATATGGGAATCATAAAGAGCCTCGGGAGTTCGAATGAGGAGCAAAACAGGTGGCAACACCGAGTAATCTCTTTATAAAATCCTTGCCAATTTTGCAGGAGAAAATTTCTTTGCTGCCAGTAATGAAAACATTTTTCATATTTAACAATAGTTATTTTTTAACGAGTTACATGTTCCTCTTCTTTTCCCATTTTTCAGTTTGTGTCTTAGGATTTTTTCCCAATGAATTAACTTCTTTGTATCCTGATGGCATTAACCTTTTTGATGTTAATGCTTTTGGTGGGCCGACAAGGCCTAGTTTGAGGACTATAAAATATTTTTAGGAATTTTTTAGTTGCATAATTTTATATTTTTTATGGTCAAATTTTTATATATATTTTTGTAATTTATAATATTTAAATTTGGCATGCAGAGATCAGATATTTATTTAAATATTCTTATGGTCTGTGCTGCAGGTTTTTTCAGGCAGTTTATGTGCTTTCAGGTGTCTTCTCTGGAGCAGGTGATGATAATTATGTATTGATAGAGAGAGGAAGAAAAGAGGTGAAGCTCTGGTGCCACATTACTGGAATTGGAATAGTGAGATGGTTAGCACTGTGGGGCCTCCATAGTTTCCCTGGGTTTGAAGATGGCTGTGACATAATGTGTCCCTTTGACTTAACTTCTCTGTTCATTAGTTTCCGTATCTAGAAAATAGGTTTAATAAAATAACCTTTGGGAGGCCTAGGCGGGCGGATCCCTTGAGATCAAGAGTTCGAGACCAGCCTGGCCAACATGGCGAAACCCCATCTCTACCAGAATACAAAAATTAGCCGGGTGTGGTGGCTGACGCCTGTAATCCCGGCTAGTCGGGAGGCTGAGGCAGGAGAATAGCTTGAACCCCGGGGGCAGAGGTTGCAGTGAGCTGAGATCGCGACACTGCACTCCATCCTGGGCTACAGAACAAGAATCCGTCACGCGGGGGTGGGGCGTGGGGGTAAATAACCTACTTTATATAGTTATGAGAATAAAATGAGTTAATATGTAAACCACTTAGAACAGGACCTGGTATAAAGTCAGTGCCAGCCACAGTTTAGTCTAGGCTGGGTAGGTGCTTTGAAGCTTGATACTGTTTCAATGTACTCTGCATTTCTAAAAACGTGAACATTTCAAAGCGTTTATTTAATCTCCAAAGGACTACCGATACCGGAACCTCATCCCAGCACATTTGTAAGCGAGACACGCCTCCCAGAGGCCACGAGTGAAGTTAATTCCAGTTCTCGAAAATCTTGCAGACCGCATTTAACTGGTGTGGCTCTGACGCGCAGTTTGGGAGCCTGCAGTCCGACATCTGGAAAGTAAGTGGCAGGTCCACTTCGTCTCTAGCGGCTCCGCTTCTTCCGCCCTATCTTCCCTCCGAGGCTGGGCTCTGCTAATTCCTGTAGACTGCAGAATGATTTCTGCGAACGTGCATTCTTTCATTCATTCCACAGATAATTCAGCTGAGCGCTTACTCTGTGCGAGGCATTGCCGGGGAGCGGGGGAGTGAACTGAATGTGGAACCTGACAGTAAGGGGCTTGTGCCCCATAGGAGATTCAAAATATGCATTGTACGTAAATGGGCAAACTAACGATAATCTTGTAGCTTCTGTTTCCTCAAGTGCCAAATGGGGGTAATACAACCTTAGAGGACTTTATCGGTCTGTGAAAGATGAGAGGGGGGAAAAAAAAAGAGCCCCGAATCGTAAGCTAGGTGCCAAAAGGATCCTAATGCCTGCTTTCGACATTCTTCCCCCATCGAAACTGATGAGTGCCAGCCCTGCAAGTTAAAGCGCCATATTTTCCACATTTTACGGAGTGTTTATTGGCGTCTCCAAACAAAGTTATATTGGTTCAATTTTCGGCATATGCAAGTTTTCCTCGCTAGCATTCGGCATCCTAGTTTCAACCGTTAAAAGCGGCTGACTCCACATACAGGAAGTACATCTAAAAAAAAAATCCCCAAAACCCTGATATCCAGAAATTTTTTTTTTTTTTTGAGACGGAGTTTCGCTCTTGTTCCGCAGGCTGGAGTGCAATGGCGCCATCTCGGCTTACCGCAACCTCCGCCTCCTGGGTCCAGGCAATTCTCCTGCCTCAGCCTCCTGAGTAGCTGGGATTACAGGCATGCGCCACCATGC